TTTTTTTTTTAATTTGAGAGAGAGCACAGAGGGAGAGTGACAGGGAGAAGCTGAATTCCCGTTGAGCAGAGAGCCCAACACAGGGCTTGATCCCAGGACCCTGTGGTCATGACCTGAGCTGAAGGCAGATGTTCAACCAACTGAGCCACCAGGGCGCCCCCCTTTTTTTCTTTTTAAAGATTTATTTGAGAGAAAGTACGCACATGCACATGCAGAGAGGCAGGAGGGGCAGAGGAAGATGGAGACAGAAACCTAAGCAGACTCCATGCTTAGCACAGACCCGGACACAGGGCTCAATCTCATGACTCCAACACCATGACCTGAGCCTAAACTAAGAGTCGGACGCTTAACTGCGGCCACCGAGGTGTCCCACCATGCATCTTTTGTGACCACAACATTATGAAACTAGAAGTTAACCACAAGAAAAATCTGGAAAGACCACAAATACGTGGAGGCTATATTTCTTTTCTTTTTCTTAAGATTTTATTTTAGAGTGTGAGTGGGAAGAGGGGCAGACGGAGAGGGAGGAGGGGGAGAATCTCAGACTCCACACTGAGTGCAGAGCCCCCCGTGTGGGACTCAATCTCATGACTCTGCTTCTCCCTCTCCTCCCTGCTAGTGCTCTCTCCCACTATCTGTCTCTCAAATAAATCAATAAAATCTTTACAAAAAATTAACACTGTATGTTAACTGGAATTAAAAACTAAAAAATAAGAATAAATTTTAAAAAAAGCTCATGATTGAGAAAAAAAATTCAGAAGTGGCAATCTTTTTTTTTTTTTAATATTTTATTTATTTATTTGAAAGAGAAAGAGCACAACCAGGGGGAGAAGCAGAGGGAGAGGGAGAAGCAGACTCCCCGCTGAGCAGGGAGCCTGACATGGTGGGGCTTGATCCCAGAACCCTGGGATCATGGCCTGAGCCGAAGGCAGACGCTTAACCATCTGAGCCACCCAGGCACCCCCAGAAGTGGCATTCTTAATTTTTTTTTTTTTAAGTAAACTCTATACCCTGGGTGGGGCTCAAACTCACAACCCCAACATCAAGAGTCACACAGCTCTAATGTCTGAGCCAGCCAGGTGCCCCAGTGATCTTAATTTTACTTTCTTCTGAATGTAACACAAAAACCTAGTTAGTTCATCCACAGGTCATTCACTCATCACTAAACAAACATTAAGGCCCTATTAAACTACAGGAACCCTGACAGGTAAGAACACACAGGAAGGTCTACAACTGCAGACTGGAGATATCAGGGGATACAAAAGGAAATTAACGGCTTTAAAAACCCCTTTAAGAATTCTCTCACTTTATTCTCAGAGCAACCCAGTTTCAGATAAACAAGTTTGAGAGTTTAAGTAATTTGCCTGAGTACTTTATCATATACCCTAAGCGTGACCCCCAACAAGAATCACCTAAGAACTTACTAAAAATGAAGAATCCTGGGGCGCCTGGGTGGCTCAGTTGTTAAGCGTCTGCCTTTGGCTCAGGTCATGATCCCAGGGTCCTGGGATCAAGCCCCGCATCTGGCTCCCTGCTCCATGGGAAGCCTGCTTCTCCCTCTCCCACTCCCCCTGCTTGTGTTCCCTCTCTCCTGCCTGTCAAATAAATAAATAAAATCTTTAAAAAAAAAAAGAATCTTGGGCTCCATCCCAGATCTACTGACTCATCTGCAGTTTATCAGGATTCCCAGGTGATTATTATTCATGTTAAAGGTTTTAGTTACTTGGCCGTAATGCCATTATTCTAAGTAGTACAGCTGGGATAGAGGATGGGCCTGAAACAAGTTTTTTGTTTTTTTTTTTAAAGATTTTATTTATTTGACAGAGAGAGACACAGCGAGAGAGAGAACACAAGCAAGGGGAGTGGGAGAGGGAGAATAGGCTTCCCGCAGAGCAGGGAGCCTGACGTGGGGCTCGATCCCAGGACTCTGGGATCATGACCTGAGCCGAAGGCAGACGCTTAATGACTGAGTCACCCAGGCGCCCTTGAAACAAGTTTTAAAAGATGCTCTAGGAGGTACCTGGGTGGCTCAGTTGGCTGGGCGGCTGACTCTTGGTTTCAGCTCAGGTCATCACCTCAGGGTCCAGGGGTTAGGCTCTGCCCTCAGCAGGGAATCTGCTTCAGGATTCTCTCTCCCTCTGTCCCTCCCCCTGCATGCCTCCTCTCTAAAATATGTTTAAAAACCTTAAAAAAGAAAAAAAATTTGGCTTTAGCAAAGCAACAAAGCATTAAAGAGAACTCTTCATAGAGAACTGCAGAAAAGTGATCTGAGCTTGGAGTTCTGGAGGAGTACAGCTCATCCAAGCCCATGCACGATAAGCACACTGAGGACCCAGAAAGTAGTAGAGATACAGAAATAGTTTATTCTCATTTACTTATTTATGAATTTTTTTTTAAAGATTTATTTGAGAGAGAACGAGAGAGAGCACGAGAGGAGGGAGGGTCAGAGGGAGAAGCAGACCCCCTGCCGAGCAGGGAGCCCAATGTGGGACTCGATCCAGGGACTGCAGGATCATGACCTGAGCCGAAGGCAGTCGCTTAACCAATTGAGCCACCCAGGCGCCCTATGAATTTGTTTTTTAAAGTAGGTCCGATTCCCCAGTTTGGAGCCCAACACAGAGCTTGAACTCAAGACCCTGAGATCCAGCCCCACGGAGGGCTCGATCCGAGGACACGGAGATCACCACTTGAGCTGAAGCCAACAGTCCCACGCTTAACTGACTGTGCCATCCAGGTGCCCCTAAAAAAATAAATCTTTAAAAAAAAAAAAAAAGTCAGACGCTTAACTGAGCCACCCAGGTGCCCTGATACAGAAGTTTAAACCAAAAAATATGGGGCGCCTGGGTGGCTCAGTCGTTAAGCATCTGCCTTTGGCTCAGGTCATGATCCTAGGGTCCTGGGATCGAGCCTCACATCGGGCTCCCTGCTCAGTGGGAAGCCTGCTTCTCCCTCTCCCACTCACCCTGCTTGTGTTCCCTCTCTCTGTCAAAAAAAACCCACAAAAACTTAAAAAAAAATAAACGAAAAAGTATAAATTTACATTTTTGAAGGGATGTAGAATACAGTGGAGAATCATTGCTTTTTCGTTGAGAATCAGTAAGTTTTTTAAAAAATTTTTTAAGTAATCTCTACACCCAATGTGGGGCTTGACCTCACAACCCCTCAAGAATCCCATGCTCTACCAACTAAGTCAGCCAACCACCCAGATAATCAGTATGTCTTAAACATTTTATGTGGCCCACTCACGGAAATATTTCAAGTTTGCTAATCAAAATGAGCCATATAAAATTCACCTGCACTTCCCATTGCAGACTAAGATGCTAAGGCTCTTCAAGAGAACAAGTACTTCATTTTAGCACAAAGAACCAGAACCTACCTTCTGGTTAGTGTTTTAAACAGTTAAGAATTTAGCACTTAGGAGAACTGATAGCTTGGGGAGGTGGGGTGGGGGGAATGGGGTAACTGGGTGATGGGCATTAAGGACGGGCACTTGAAATAATGAGCACTGGGTGTTGTATGCACTGATGAATTCCACCTCTGAAACTAATAATATAGTATATGTTAATTAAATTGATAGCTCTGTGATTTAACTAGATTTTCCCCAGGCCTGTAGACCATTTAAAATGACTAAAAGTTTATTAATTAGCATTCTCCAAGTCTATCTTGTTTCAGATAGAAAACTTTTGACTATATAGCCCTTGGCAGGTCTATGGGCAACTTTCATCAAAAGCTGTTAAAAATCTGTTATGTCCCAAGTCAAGAATGTGTCTTAGGTACTAATGATGTAAAATGGTAACATTCTTCTGGGAGCAAAATAACTAGCTTTATTATATAATTGTGTCTAGGGATGGCTACATGTACTTCATTGTAGCATTTACTTCAATTATCTAAATTTGAAATGTACTTACACCTCTGAAAATTTGTATCTTTTTTTCTTTACAAACCACTGTTAGTTGAGAGGTAAAGTTGAGGATCATCTCCAGTTTACAAATGAGGAACTGAAGTTAAGAAGGGCTGTGGACTTGCCCAGTTACAAGAAAAGCAGAGGGAACTCAAAGCTATAATCATTTTATTTTTTTAAAGATTTTATTTATTCATTTGAGAGAGCAAGCATGCAGAGTGGGGAGGGGCAGAGGGAGAGGGAGAAGCAGACACCCCTCTAAGCGGGGAGCCGAACACAGGGTTTGATCCCAGGACACCAAGATCATGACCTGAGTTGAAATCAAACGCGCAATTGACTGAGCCACCCAGGCGCCCCAAAGCTATAATTGTTTTAGCTCCTCCACCTGTTGAATGCTTTGATTGAACTGGGCTTTAGCATCATGCCCATGGCATACACAGAGATGCAAGACCGACAGTCCTATGAAACTTGTGGCTGTCGTGACTATATGGCTGTCAATCAGGCTGTTGTTCACATACTGTAAATACCGTATTTTAGAAACAAGGATTTCTCTTTGGTGTTCTATGTCCTGGTTTATACCCATGGACATTTTATTTTTGGTCATCTTGTTTTCCTATTATTCCCCCATTCTTTACTATAAAATCATTTTGTTATCCTTTTAAAAATATCACCTTAGAAAAAAATCTGCATCTATGTTAATGTTAATGATTATTTTGTTGCTCCATTCAGAACTAGGAAGTAAAATAAAGGATACAATTTTTTTACTTTCTGAAGGGATACAGAAAGTTTTGCTCACCTAATTTTAAAATTTTGAACACAAAACACAGCTTTATTTAAATAAATACAGACAGTCCAAAAGGAAAAAGAAACATTAGAGTGAGGCTCTTAAATTGGTCCACCTAATCACAGCCTTCTGAAAGGCTGTTTCAATTAACAATTCACAACTCTCACTTTTCAGCTATAATTATCAAAGCAATAATCATCAAATGCTAAATAAAATATAGAAAGGATCATAATTGTCCACCTAAAATATAGAGATCACAGAACTACCTTAAAATACAAAGAAAATATTTTTATTTGTATAACAAAGACTCCAAGAAATGATAACATAATCAAGTTAACAGAACTGGTGTCAAGACACATAGGTTTGAAAAGGTACAGATGATTAGTAACATTGTTTCATCCAACCTTCCAGTTAGAGAACATCTCAGATACATTCCTGACTGAATCTTAAGTGTGATGTATCCCAATGATTCAAAGATGGTTCCCTTCAATTAGTCCTCATTATCTCTCTTTTTTTTCTTTTTCTTCTTTTTCTCTGGACTCTGAAAATAACAAACAAGAATGCTTTTGAAAGAGCTGTAAAATGTATGGGTGAGGAATAATAACTTTATCTTATAAGAAGCAAAGTAGATCTATTTCCCTCAAAAACAAACTTAGGTTAAAGATTAAAACCTAAAAATATAAAAATCACCTCTATGAAAATCTGTAGCAAGTTATATTCTCTCTTCCTCAATGTAAACCCATTTTGTAATAAGATTCTAGGTTTGGGAAATGGCCTTTTTTATAACAATATCATTTTTATTTTACTGTTCCTTCTATGAAACCATCTTGACTGCCTGCTCATTTCTAATACAGAAGAGTACAATAAAATAGAGACCCGGCCCATGCCAACAAAGTATTAAAAACAAACATACAGGAATTGCTGTGCTGGTGCATGGTTCCTCCTCAGAAAGCGGTTCTTCCTTAATGTGTTTCTTTTTGTCCTTCTTCTTCTTCTTCTTCACAGATGTCTCCTGTTCTTCTACCACTAGTACTCCTTCTTCTTCTTCTTCTTCCTCTGTTGCTACTGGGGCTTCTTCAACTGAATGGGGTTAAGTATAAAGACAAACAATTAACACTATATCAGACCTCACTTCCCCCACCTTTTGAATCTCAGTTTTTTCTCATCATTCTGGTTGACTATCCAATGTTTATTTATTATAAAATTTTGTAACTGGAAAGGTCCTTCAAACACCTACCTAGTCCAAGACCACTAACTTTACGAGATCATGTAGCCATGTATGGAAATTAGGATTGAAACAGATCATCTGATCTCCAAACCCAGTGTTTTTTGGAAATTGTCAATTGTATTATAAATTATGAAGAGTCTGTGCTCTGGAGGGGCGCCTGGGTGGCTCAGTCGGTTAAGCGTCTGCCTTCGGCTCAGGTCATGATCCCAGGGTCCTGGGATCAAGCCCTGCATCGGGCTCCTTGCTCAGTGGGAAGTCTGCTTCTCCCTCTCCCTCTGCCTGCTGCTTCCCCTGCTTGTGCTCTCTTGCTCTGTCAAATAAATAAATAAATAAATAAGGGGTGCCTGGGTGGCTCAGTCGTTAAGCATCTGCCTTCGGCTCAGGTCATGATCCCAGGGTCCTGGGATCGAGCCCTGCATCGGGCTCCCTGCTCGGCAGGAAGCCTGCTTTTCCCTCTCCCACTCCCCCCTGCTTGTGTTCCCTCTCTCGCTGTGCCTCTGTCAAATAAATAAAATCTTAAAAAAAAATAAAAAAATAAATGAAATCTTAAAAAAAAAAAAAAAGAATTTGTGCTCTGGAGTTAAGAGACTGGGTTTATTCAACCTGCTGTGACCCTGAGAGGAAGTCACTGACTTCCGTAAACCCCATTTACTCATGTACAACTCAGTGATGCCTATTTTACTGGATTTAACAAGATAACGTATCATGCTCGGCACATCAGAATGCAGACTCAGGGGTGCCTGGGTGGCTCGGCCGGTTGAGTGTCTGCCTTCGGCTCAGGTCATGATCTTGGGATCCCGGGATCAAGCCCTGCATCGGGCTCCCCGCTTGGTGGGGAGCCTGCTTCTCCCTCTCCCTCCCCGCAGCTCGTGCTCTCTCTCTCAAATAAATGAATGAATGAATGAATGAATGAATAAATAAATAAATAAATATAGAATCTTTAAAAAAAAAAAGAGAGAACTCAATAATAGGTACCTATCATTAGAAACTCGTTCAACAAAAATACATTTAGCACCTACTAAATGCCAGGGCATTTCCTAGACAACTGGATACAGCAGGGCATAAAACAGACAAAAAAATCCCTGTCCTTCTACATCTTTTTTTTTAGGAGTGGAGGCAAAAAAATGATATAACCATACAATATTTTACACAGTAATCAGTGCTAAGAATAAAAATAAAGCAGAAAGAAGAACGCTGAGGAAGGCAGTACATACGGGTACTTCAGACAGGACAGTCAGGCAGGCAACACCTGGAAGAGGCAAAGGAGTGAATGATGCACCTACCTTGAAGAAAAATATTCCAGGTAGAGAGAAGAGCAAATGCTAAAGTTATTTTGGGAGAGGTGAGTTGGTAGAATCAAAGAATAACAAGGAGGCCAGTGTGGCTAATGGAGTAAAACTAAATGAGAGAGTTAATGGGGGGTGCCATTGTGGCTGTTACAATAACAAAAGCAGTGGTGGATAAGTGGTTAGATTATGGATTTTCAAAGTAGAACTGAACTGAGAGGATTTGTTGCCAGAATAGGGGCACCTGGCTAGCTTAGTTGGTGGAGCATGTGACTTTTGATCTCAGGATTTTTAAGTTTGAGCCCCACACTGGGTATAGAGATTACTTAAAAAGAAAATCTAAAAAAAAAAAAAAAAAAAATTTGTTGTCAGAGTAGACTTGGGTTGTAAGAAAAGAGTAAAGGTTAAAGGCCAAAGCAACTAGAACTGCCATTAATAAAACAGACAAATTTGTGGAGCAACAGATTGAGAGTGACAAGGATATAAGAATGTTAAATTTGAAAAGCTTACTCAATATATAAGTGAAGATACTGGAGTTTGCTGTTTCAAATGCTATTAATGGGCTTAGGGATCACCTTGTTTTTTTTTTTTTTTAAAGATTTTATTTATTTATTTGAGAGAGAGAGAATGAGAGACAGAGAGCACGAGAGGGAAGAGGGCAGAGGGAGAAGCAGACCCCTGCTGAGCAGGGAGCCCGATGCGGGACTCCATCCCAGGACTCCAGGATCATGACCTGAGCCGAAGGCAGTCGCTTAACCAACTGAGCCACCCGGGCGCCCGGGATCACCTTACTTGTTAATAAATAAAGAGAAACATAAAAGTTAAATAACTTTATGTTTTCTTTAGCCAGGGCAGGAATCCACATTTGCTGATAATATACTTTTGACCACTAAGCTATTTAGAATCCAAAACTTAAATCAGTCATTACTTTCATGCCTGATTTTCCTGATAGACTAGCTGGCAGGCATTCAACACAGGTACTTCTAGTAAATGGGGTTACCTGCTTATCAACTTTGCAAGATAGCCTAGTTCACTGGAGAGTACCTATTAAATATCATTATTATAATGATGGTTACCAATATGTTATTACTCTAGTCCATTCTATATAACAGAAACAAGAAAACCACTGCTGCAAATTTTACCCTTATCTATATAACAAAAACTCAGTGACTAATTTAAAAACCATGAACTTTTTTTCCTTTTTAAGCTGATTCTCAAAATAGTTCACGTGATAGGAACTGAAGTTTGGTACACTTAGCATAATATGTGATTCCATATATTCAAAGAAGTGCTTCTCACATTCCTCTATGAAGTCTGATAAATTTAATACCTTAACTATCTCAAGGAACACAATGGCTTTAAACACCATTAACTTTCAATATGGGTGGTTTCACAATAAAGTTCAACAGCATGTACTTACTTCCCCAAGACTTATGAAGTCCGTCTTTCTTAAAGAATATGAATATAAGCAACATTTTAAAAATTCAAACTGACCTTTAATTTTAACCTTGGCTTTTTTGGCCTTCTTTTCAACAATTTCATCTTCTTTATCTACCTGTTCTATCTTGCGTTTTTTAGAACAGGTTGGCAGTGTGGAATCACCAGAAGGATCATAAGTCTTCACTTCACTATAAGAGTCAAAGAATTATAGAAAATCTCTACAAATACTTGTAACTGAAATAATTCTAAGGAAGTTTAGAAGAGATGCCATTAGATAATACTTATATAACCATACAGAACTGTTTCATTTTAGTAGCTTTGGGGCAGTTTATGAAAACTAGTAATTTCCAAAAGGTAAAGAGGTATCAATCACTATTTTCCAAGTAGGTCAATCACACTTCAAGAGAAGTGGTGAGTTAAAGTGAATTCTCATTTAGTAATCAATGTAATGACTACGGTATAGAAAAACATTCAATCAGTATGGGGAAAAATGGAGAAAATTTCTTTACAACAAATGATTATTCTAGAAAGTAAAAACTGAAGCAATTCAAGTTTTAGAAATAGGGCAAATTCAATGAAAACAAAAGGCAAAACCTAAATCAAGTTAACACAGAAGACTTCATCACAAAACCCCAAAAGGCAGAAGAAAAAGGGGCTACATATGGATGAAGATTCCCTAAAAGCCTACATTTGCTTTTGTTCTAATGTAGCAGAAAGAAAAAACTGAAGTACTAAGTGCCTAAAACAAGAACTAATAAATCTCATAACTGGTGCTTCAAGTGCATGTGTTTAGTTTAAAGTCAAAAGCATAATGGCATGAGAATATTAAAATATTGTTCAAAACAAGCTAAGGAATGTTTCATTTCTTAAGTTTATTTGTAGTCATGGCTGCTTAATTTTTATACATTAAAAACAATTTAAAAAACAAAGATCCACACTTACCAACTAAAGACACAAAATTAGACTTTAAAAATTACAAAATAGGGCCTGGGTGGCTCAGGTGGTTAAGCGACTGCCTTTGGCTCAGGTCATGATCTCCGAGTCCTGGGATCGAGTCCCACATCGGGCTCCCGGCTCAGCAGGGAGCCTGCTTCTCCCTCTGACCCTCACCTCTCATGCTGTTTCTCTCTCTCAAATAAATAAAATCTTTAAAAATTACAAAATATATATATGGTCACTGTTGAAAACTTGGAAAATTCATAAAACATAAAATATTAATGCCCATAGCTGGAACACTTTTGGTTTCTTTCCAGAATAAAGGAAGCAATTTTTCTAAATACGTACGTTTAAATATATATGAGTATTTATAGTAAGATGTTACTCCTTGCCCAGTTTAAAATTTTACTATTAAAATTCTTTTTTTTTTTTTTAAAGATTTTGTTTATTTGACAGAGAGAGACACAGCAAGAGAGGAACACAAGCAGAGGGAGTTGGAGAGGGAGAGAGAGAAGCAGGCTTCCCGCGGAGCAGGGAGCCCGATGCGGGGCTCGATCCCAGGGTCCTGGGATCATGACCTGAGCCAAAGGCAGACATTAAACGACTGAGCCACCCAGGTGCCCCTATTAAAATTCTTAATTACAGGAGTCCTAAGGGAGAATTTATGGGTTAATGACTAGAAACATTTTAAAGACTCCTGATACATACTGTCAAACCACTTTCCAGAAAAACTGCAGCACATTCTACTTCCATCATCACAACCTTACCAGTACTGAACATAACCTCAAATAACCAAAATCCCTCTCCCTACATATATCTTTTGTTCGTTTCATGGTGAGGTCTGAATACTATTTACTATCAACATCTGAAAATGAACTAAATATTAAGAGGGAAAAAAAAAGCCAAGGGGCACGTGCCTGGCTGCGTCAGTTGAAGGAGCATATCACTCTTGATCTCGGGGTTATGAGTCTGAGCCCCATGCTGGGTATCGAGATTACTTAAATAAATAAGACTTTAAAAAAGAGAAAAAAGCCAAAATATATACCATGTATGTATTTATTACAACAATATAAAATGTTTGTGATTAAAAATTAGAAATATGGAAAACTATAAAAAAAATCAGAGACACTGAGGTGTTTGTTTTATTATAAACACTGCTGTCGTCAATTAAAATTTAATCAAGCAGATATTGTTCACCCATCCTCCCCCAAATGTACTTACCTTTTATGTTCGTATTTTTCTGTTTTTGCTAACGCTTTTCCTGTTCCACTTATTTTCCTTATCTAAGAAAAGATACCAAATCTTTGTAAATATAAGGGAAACTGCCAATAGCAGGAACAAAAAATGTTATTAAACATACTAAAATTTATCATTTAAATAAAACTGCTTAGTAGGTGAAATGAGTAAGTACATAAACTACTTAAAGTTTATTTATTTTTGATAGCTAACACTTCTACAATAGGCAGGATGTGGTCCTTACCCCTCTATCTTCCAAGGTCCTCAACCTGGCCTCTAATTTGGCTCTGTTCTCAACTCCCATCGCAGAACTGGAATCTTCACCAAAAGCATCGTACCGGATAGCCAAAACAGTTTTGGCTGCCAGCATTCGAGAAATCTGATAGAGAACTTAAAGTTAGAGGCATTCAAACTATATTCCAAGTTGAGATGATAAAATCCTCAATAACTTATTCATGAGAAAACTGGAGCAAATCATCAACTCTATCATTCACTCTAGTATTTTTTAAAGTCAGGAATTATGAAGTATTATGAATCATACAACTCAAGCCACCTAGCTTATATCTGAATCTCTCAATGGTTAACTGGTTATATACAACCCCATTCGTTTTGTTGGATGAAATAATATTGCAGTAGTTCATGTCTAAAACAAGCTCAAACTACCCTTCTAATGCCTTCCTTTAATTTCTACTCAGTGACCTTAGTTCTACACCATGAGGTCATCTGGAAAAAGCGTAGCCCCCCTTTTAAGCTAATTAACACTTTATCAACCCTTTCATCAATCTGCTCTGAATTTTATAACATTTCAGTTTTCTTCCTTAACATTCTAGTTTCTGTTAAATTATGTACCCTAACCAAAAAGCTTGAAAGTACTTAATATGCTGAAGACTCAGCTTTCTCATCTATAAAACTGATACCTTACATCTCACAGGGCTATTAAAAGGATTCACTTAAGTCCCACTAGGTGCTGATCACAGTGCATGGTTATTATTTTTTTTAAAGATTTTACTTACTTGGCAGAGAGAGAGATAGCGAGAGAGCGAACACAAGCAGGGGGAGTAGGAGAGGGAGAAGCAGGCTTCC